TTGGGCGCCTCTGGGGCTGTCTTGGGACGATCTTTGGGGCCTCTTGGGCCGTCTGGGGCCCTTCTGGAACGGAAAAGGGGAGAACCTGAAAAACCTGCAAAAACCATGGGGAAATCAAAGTTTTTGGCTTTCTGAGGCCCTCTTGGGGGCCCTCTTGAGGGCCTCTGGGACCGTCTCGAGACTCTCTTGGACATCCTAGCGGCCATCTGAAGCTCTCCTGGGGCTGTCTTGGGGCCCTCTTGAGCCGTCTTGGGGCCCTTGGGCCGCTTCACCAGAAAAAATACAAAGAAACGGGCCAAGGGAGCCGCCCGGGAGCCGCTTCACTAGAAAAAATACAAGGGAAACGGGCCATTAGACCATTGTGTCCGGGCCTCGCCCCTCCCCCTGGACCCCTCCCTAGAAGACTTCGCCCCAACTCAACGTCATCACTCGTGCCTCACTCTTTCCGTCATCCGCCGCCCCCTTTTGACTCATCAAAGGGGTGCCTGGCGTGTTAGACCCTCTCGGTTTTGGTTTTGATTCTTTTTCCAAAAGAACTCTCCCTGGGGCTCCGGCGCGTCCCGCCACCGTACCCGGAAGACCCGGTTGCCAACGCCATAAACGGCCGTTTCGCTCGGGACATCCTCAAACAATCGCGAAGATGGCCCAAGATGGCCTCCAAGTCCGCCCAAGATGGTCCAAGATGGCCTCCAAGACGGCCCAAGAGAGTCCAAGACGGCCCAAGAGGCCCCCAGAGGCCTCCAAGACGGCCCAAGAGGCCTCCAAGATGATCTCCAGGAGGGCCCGAAGAGGCCAAAATCATTTATTTTCATGGGTTTTTGAAGGACTTTGACAGTTGCTTCCTTTCGGCATTCCAACAGCTCAAGACAGCCAAAGAGGCCCCCAAGATCGCCCAAGAGGCCCCAAGAGGGCCCCATGACGGCCCAAGTGGCCTTCAAGACGGCCCCAAGACGGGCCAAGAGGCCTGCAACACGCCCAAGATGGCCTCCAAGACGCCCAAGATGGCCTCCAAGACGGCCCCGAAGCGCCCCAAGAGGGCCCCCAGTCGGCCCAGAAAGGTCCCGACGGCGTCAGACGTGCCAGGAGCCCACCAAGATGGCCGAAGTTGGCTCGAAGCTGGCCCAAGACGGCCCAAGAGACCCCCAAGAGGGCCTCCAGGAAGGCCGGAAAAGGCAAGAAATACTTCTTTTCCTAAGGTTTTTGACGGATTTTGCATTTCCTTCTTTTCGGCCTTCCGACGGCCCGAGACGGCCCAAAGGCCCCAAAAATTCGCCCAAAGATCGCCCAAGAAGCCTTCAAGATGGCCCCAGAACGGCCCAAGAGGGCCCCAAGATGGCCCTGGAGGCCTTTAAGATGCCAAAGATGGCCTCCAAGACGGCCCTGGAGCATTCCAAGAGGGCCCCAAGTCGGCCCATAGAGGCCCCCCAAACGGCGTCCGACGGCGTCAGACGGACCAGGAGCCCACCAAGACGGCCGAACATGGCCCTAAGATGGCCCGAAACGGCCCAAGAACCCTCCAAGAGGACTTCCAGGAAGGCCCGAAAAGGCCAAAATCATTGATTTCCAATGGGTGTTTGAAGGATTGTGGCATTTGCATTTTTTCTGCCTTTCGACGACCCGAGACGGCCCAAGTGCCCCAAGACACGGCCCCAAGAGGCCCCAAAGACGGCCCAGGATGTCTTTAAGACGCTCAAGATGGCCTCCAAGACGGTCCAAGAGCCCTCCAAGACGTCCTCCAAGAAGGCCCGAAAGGGTCAAAATGGCCTCCAGACGGCCAAGATGACCTTCAAGATGCCCACGTGTTCCCCGAAGGCTTTCCAAACCGATTCGGGGAACACATGGTCCGTAGCTTGGCAGGTCTGGCCTCAACGTTCGGCCACGTAGGCGCTCCAAAAAAGGCAGGGGGCGGCGGTGATTCGCCGTAGGCGTCTTCGATCCGCCGCCCCCTTTTGATTTATCAAAGGGGTGCCTGGCGTGCCAGATGATATGGCTTTTGGTTTTGCTTCTTTTTCGAAAAGAACTCCCCCTGGAGCTTCGGCCCGTCCCGCCGGGGCCGCGGAAGGCGCTCAATTTCCCAACAAATCCCCGAAGACGGCTCAAGATGGCCTCCAAGATGGCCACGTTGGCCCAAGATGGCCTCCAAGATGGTCCAAGATGGCCTCCAAGTCCGCCCAAGAGAGGAGGAGATGCCTCCAAGTCCGCCCAAGAAACCTCCAAGACGGCCGAAGACGGCCAGAGAGGTGCCCAAGAGGCCTCCAAGACGGCCAAAGAGGCCTCCGAGAGGCCCTCCAGGAGGGCCCGAAGAAGCCACAATCATCGATTTGCCTTAGACTTTTAACAAGTTTTTCGTGCTTGCTCCTTTTCGGCTTTCCGACACCCAAGACGGCCCAAGAGGCCCCTAAGATCGCCCCCAGAGCCCCCAAGTGGCCTCCAAGATGGCCTCGGGACTGCCCAAGACGCCCCCAAGACGGCCCCAAGAGGACACAGAGACGACCCATAAGGCCTCCAAGACGCCCAAGATGGCCTCTAAGACGGCCCTGGAGCACCCCAAGAGGGCCCCAAGTCGGCCCAGAAAGGCTTCTCAAACGGCTTCCGACGGCGTCAGACAGGCCAGGAGCCCACCAAGATTGCCGAAATCCCACCAGGCCTCTGGGCGTCGGTGGTTTAGAGCGTTTCCTCTTCCACCCCTCCTTCTTCCCCTTCGGGGAGGGGTTTACCCCTCCCCCTACCCCCTCCCCACTGACCTGGACAGGGGGGGCCGCGGGTAGTTCGAGCGTCCAAGATCGACTCCTGGGAAGGCTAAAATTCGACACCCCTCACGGGGATCGTGGCTCCTGAGGGGGGGGGCTGTAATTAGGCAACCCCCCTTCGTTGATCGATCTCCTCCAAGATTGTTCCAAAAGACGTTTTGGACCCCCTCTTGGGCTTTGCGCGCGGGCGGGCGGAGCGCCGCCCGCCCGCCCGCGAGGCCCAAGAGCCCACCAAAACGTTCGAAGACACTTCCAATACGCCACCAGGGAGGAGGAAGAGGCGGAGGAGGAGGAGGAGGAGGAGGAGGAGGAGGAGGAGGAGGAGGAGGAGGAGGATGAGGAGAGGGAGGAGGAGGAGAGGAGGAGGAGGAGGAGAAGGCGGAGGAGAAGGAGGAAGAGGGGAGGAGAACAGCTGCCGATCATCGGCGCTCTTCGTTCGAGTGCCTGGTGTAGGATAGGCTGGTGGGGACACGCGAAGCGTCAAGAATTGGCTCGAAGCTGGCCAAGACGGCCCAAGAGCCCCCAGGAAGGCCAGAAAAGGCCAAGAACACTGATGTGCCGTAGGTTCTCGAAGGATTTTGACAGTTGCTTCGTTTCGGCCTTCCGACGGCCCGATACGGCCCAAGAGCCCCCAAAGATCGCCCAAAGATCGCCCAAGGGGCCTGCAAGATGGCCGCAGGACTGCCCAAGAGGCTCCCAAGACGGCCCCAAGAGGGCACAAAAGACGGCCCAGGAGGCTTTTAAGACGCCCAAGATGGCCTCCGAGACGGCCTTGAAACATTCCAAGAGGGCCCCAAGTCGGCCCCCACTGGCACCCCCAAACGGCTTCCGACCGCGTCGGGCAGGCCAGGCGCCCACCAAAACGGCCGAAGATGGCCCCAAGATGGCCCAAGACGGCCCAAGAGGCTTCCAAGAGGGCCTCCAGGAAGGCCCGAAAAGGCAAGAAATCATGTCCAATGAGTTTTTTGACGGATTGTGGCATTTGCGTTGTTTCTGCCTCCCGACGGCCCGAGACGGCCAAGTGCCCCAAGACACGGCCCAAGAGGCCCACGACGGCACCCAGCGGCCCCCAAGACGGCCCAAGAGGCCTCCAAGACGCTCAAGATGGCCTCCAAGACGGCCTAAGAGCCCTCCAAGACGTCCTCCAAAAAGGACCCACAAGGATCAACATGGCCTTCTATTTTTCACCAGCACAAGCTTGAGAGGGCGCTGGGGCGAGGCATCGGCAACAGTGACAACATAACGCAGCAGCATCGAACAAGTAAAAAACTCTGGGCCTGTTAAATTCTGAATGTGTGTGGGATTGAAAGGCGGAAGAGCAGAGAAGGGAGGGAGGGACGGGCGGCTCGCGCGGCTGACTAAATCCAACGGTTGCGGATCAACAAATTGACAGGCCAACCCGATAAACTATCTCCAAGGCCTTCTATTTTTCTCCAGCACTAGCTTGAGAGGGCGCTGGGGCGAGGCATCGGCAACAGTGACAACAGAACGCAGCAGCATCGAACAAGTAAAAAACTCTGGGGGGTCATATTCACGTCCAGATTCATTAGTGTACTGGTAATACCGCCTAGCATTTACAAATGTCCCACAACCGAGAGAGCCTACGATTATTTGACGCATCTACAAGAGACTTGGCAAGGTTCTTGCACAGCGCCTTTGGGTAAGGCTGTGCTACTGCAGTCCAAAACTGGCCACCGGGGGCCTTGCCCTCTAACACTTGGTGAGGCCTCTGGGACCTCTCACAAATGCCTTTACCGTGGCACTTTCGCCCAAGAAGCCCGGAAGAAACGTGCCAGACGCGAAGCCGTGTTCGTTTACGCCACGGCTCACCCCACATACAAAAGTCCGTGAAAACATCGTGAGCATTGGGAAGCCTACCGAGACCTAGCACAGGCGGACACAGCCAAAGACGAGAAAAAGCGGGATTCTCGAGCTCTCCAGGGATCCCTCTAGTGTGAGCTAGCTTAGCAAGCACAACAGAGACACGCATCAAACGGTTACCCAACTGCACTCGAATTTGATCGGGGCCCGAGAGGCCCGGCAGTCCAAGAGGAAACTCCCTGGACCTCAAAGGTCCTGGCCCAGACTTGGTGTACCCACAAGCCAACGAGAAAGAAGTGCATGGGGTTCCTAACCACAAGATGCTCACATCACCGCTGAGAATCCATCCTTTCAGAACTTCGACACTGGACGCCTTGGTGAGATCAAACTGCGCTCCTCGAATGATGTCCCACTCGACCGCGGGGATTCCTCTGGCACGAAGCGCCGAGGCGAGGCGGCCTGGCCCAGCGAAGACCTCGACGGCGACCCTCTCTCGCCCCAGGCGCACTCTGTGGCGCGTCGCGTTGAGCAATTGGCGAACAGCTGCGGCAGCCTCTGCGTGCTGAGTCGCAGCCGCTCCTGCACCACGGGCGGCACCTTCGCCACTTGCAGCGCCAGGCGGCCGTGCTTCTCGTACCTCCGCACGGACAGGCGAGCTCGCCACCTGCCTCTCTTGGCCACCTCCTCGAGCGACCTCCTTCCCACGATTCGATCGTGGCTTGCTCCTCCGTGCCGTATGCAATACGGCGTGGCACCGAGGCTTTGAAGTCCCAGCGCCGCCAGCGCGGCCTCGAGCTCCTCGCGCAGCTGCGCGTAGCCGAATCTCCACAGCGGCTCGCGAGGCTCCGACCGCGCCTTCAGATCCCTGAGCGCGGGCGTAAGCCACTGGAGCACGGGCGCGTCCAGCGGCGGCGAGTCGTCCAGCTCGCCAGCCTTGCTGGGCACCAGCAGCTCCTCTGGGTGAAGCAACAGCGTCCACCAGCGAAACCCGCCCTGCAGCCCTGCAGCCGGCGGCACCAGCTGAAACGCCTTCATCGCCGGGAGCTCTCCGGGCCGAAGGTAGCAGTGGAACATGAGGCAGAGAGCGCACGCCATCGCCACCTCCCGCTTCAGCAGCAGGATCTCCAGCACGCCGCAGAGCACCAGCCAAGGGAGCGGCGGCCGAGAGTGGCCAGGCCGCTTGCGCTTCCAGCCCAGCAGCGCCCGGCTGCTCCTCGGCAGCGCCACCCGCAGGGGCCGCCCCAGCGCCGGTCGCGCCCAGAGCACCGCCGACAACAGCTTCGCAGCCCTGTTCGGCCGCGCTCCCTGCGCGAACTCGTCGTTCAGGTGCTGCAGCAGTGCGTCGTCCCACTCCAGCGCGCTCCAGCTGGGCAGCGTCTCCACTCCGAGCCAGTTGCAAAGGCCACTGAGGCACTTCAAGTAGTTCTGCTGGGTAGAGGGCCTCACCGCCTCCAGCTCCAGTCCTGACACGCTCGAGCCCAGGAGGCGGTGCCACGGCAAGGCTGTCGACCTCCGGGTCGCGGCAGCGGGCAAGGGGCGTCTGGCGCTGGCCCTCGCTTGACCCGAGCGCGCGCGGCCCGGCGAGCCCAGGCGGCGCTTCCGCCCATGGCCGCTCGACGGCGCACTCGGAGCGGGCAGCGGCTGCGCACTCGGTGCGGCCGCCGCGAGCCGACGGCGCTCCATCGCCCCGCAAACGGCGAGGCTCGAACCGCCTTGAAGGACCATCGGCGGGGTTTCACTCTGAAGGAATCCATCGCACTGACACACGACAAGACGATGCAAGCTGAAGAGCTGTGAAGTGTCTCAACTGAGCGAGGATGGGAAAGTCCGAGGCTCTTCCTTTTGCAACTGCGCAGAAACTACACATGCTGTCTGACAAAAAGAAAAGCCTGCACCCATGATGCGCCACTCGCCGCACCTGCCGCCGCATGGCCCACAGCAGCGCCTCGCCCTCCAGGAGGTGGATGGGGGCACGATGGCGCCACCGCCTCGAGGCCACGGTCTTCCGCGAGGCGGCCTTGCAGAAGTCCGACGGCACGTCGGGGAACGGGGAGTCGCCAACGGCGCCTTCACGCAAGGCGCGTGCACGCGAGCCTTCGGCCACCAGCTCGTGCTCCTTGAACCTCCAGCGCTCTCTGACTCGGCCGACGCGCCCGACCTCGCGGGGGTCCGCGGAGCGCTCCACCGCGCCCAAGCCAGTCAACGAGGCGTCCACGGCCATCACGCTGGGGGCCCAGGCGCCGCGCAGATCCGCCCACACAAGCGGCGGCAGCGCTCGCATCCAGGTCAGCTCTCGGCGCACCGAAGGCCTGAGCCGCACGCGACGAGCGTGGCACTTGCTGACATAGACGTAGGATGCACTGAGAAAGCTGAGCACCTCGCGCCGTAGCAGCAGCACGTACGTCAAGTGCCCGATCAGCCGCTCTAGCTCGGCTCCCGTCAGGAGGGGGGGCTTCAGGATGTAGTCCAGACTCATGACTAGCCTCCAGAACCGCTTGGGCGCGATGTGGATCGCCCCCTTCACCCCGTCGACGTGGAACCCGAGCAGGTCCACGTGAACTTGCGGCCCCGAGATGTCGTGAGTAGTCAGACCGCGTCCCCTCAGCTGCCTCTCCATCGAGTCGCCGTCGAGCTGGACTGTCTCCTTTACGGTTCCCAGCGAGGCGAAGTTGTCGATGCGCAGGAGAGCAGCGGGCTCACGCCCAGCGACAGCAGGCGCGCAGCGGCGATTGCAGATCCAGCGGCGGGCCCCTTGCGGACCGGCGCGCAGCAGCTCCGCGTTCGCCGCCTGCACCAGCGCCACGGCCCAGCTCCGGCCCATCGGCGCCGCGCGCACCTGGAAGTGAACGAAGTCGTCCCCGGGCGGGAACAGGCGGCGCAGGCTTCGCGGCGGCAGCTTCCGAGGCACCGCAGGTAACGCGAAGTCGGCCCTCAGGTCGTCAGGCAGCAGGAACTGGTAGTAGCAGTTCTCGACATCGCCCTCACTGACCCACAACCGCTGGCCTGCAGGTAACTCAAGATCACCCAGGGCCTCAGGAGAAGCCAGAGCGACACCATCTGGAGGTACAAACTGTAAATTCGTCTGTCGAGGATCGAAGATGATCCGCAACGAGCCGTCCTTCTTACGCACAAAGAAGACTCCCACAAAACTGCGAACCTCAGTCGCCGGCTCGACGACACCCGATTCGTATGCTGACACCAAAAACTCGGCGTACTTGCTGGGCGACCTCGCCAGGATGGGATCCATCGCAGGGCCCAACTCGTCCGCCTCTGCCGCCGCGTCCTTTGCACACACTGCTGATAGCGCGGCCACTATCCACCAGCAACTTCTGGTAGTGGTCGGGCAGGCAACTGACGAGGTCGATCGCCTGGTTACCGACCGCTGGCGGGGCAAGCCTGCCGCGCTGGTAGGTCGCGAACTCTCCGGCGACAACACCTGCAACGGCGCAGCCGGAACCGCAGCCCCGAAGCGCAGACCACGCTCCCGAGGCGGTGAGGTCGTCGGGCGGCGGCGGCACGGCAAAGTAGGCCCGGGCCAAGCTGGCCGCAGCCTGGCGCTGGATAGCACCTGGCAGCACTTTGGGGCCCCACTCCTCGCCGCGGCCGCCCAGCACGTCGAGCGTCGAGATGCCGCCCTGCAGCCGCGCCTCAGCAGCCCGTCGGCGCGAGCGCCGCCGATCCGCACAGCGCGACACACCCAGGCCAGCTGGCGAGAGTCCCTCGAGGAGATCAGCCAGGCAGCGCCCAGATGGCAGCGGCAGCAAGTCCCGAGCCCAGTCTAGGCCTTCACCTGCAACACCGAGGCGGCCCGCCATCCTCCTCAGGCGGGCAGCCCTCCCCTCTGCAGAATGGGCGGCGGCCGGGGGCCTCCGCCGCCCGTGGCAGCTCCAGCGGCGCCACCCCCGGGCCCGCCACCATTCTTCTTCGGGCGCCTGGGGGGCTTCTCGTCGTTCTTGCCGCTGCCAGCACCTGGAGCAACATCGGCCGAGCGGGCCAGCTGCCGCTCCTCCTTCGCCTTGCGGCGCTCCATGAGCACCGCGCTCTCCTCGGACAGCTTCTGGGAGATCCAGGACTCTAGCGCAGGCGCCACGAGCGCGCGGCCATGGCGGCCCTCCTCGCCCATGAACAGCCTGTCGTTGTCGAGATGGCCGCTGTCGCCACCCGCCGTCGCCGCGATCAGCATGCGGGCGTGCCTCTCCTCGAGCAGCTGGTAGCGCCTGCCTGCAAGCTCCAGCGACGCCAGCTCGCCGAAGTTCAGCTGTTCGTACGTCAGAGCGTATTCGAAAAGCCGGCTCAAGGACTCGTGCTCCCCGACGCCCCAGTCGCTGGGGCCCAAGCCCAGCAGCTGTCTCCACCAGAAGTGGCGGCGCACGGGCGTCAGCTCCTGCCGAGCGATCTCCCGCGCCAGCCACTCCGCCGTCCTCGGGCCGCTGATCGGCCAGTCCTCGAACGCCGTCGTCGTGGTCAGCGATGCGGCCTCCTTGTAGGAGCGATGCCGCTGGCTGGCCGTCTCGTACTTCACCGGGAGGGTGCGCAGCTCGTTGGACGCAGGCTCCGCCGCCTCCACTTCCCTAGGCGCGGGCATCTGCTGGCCCGGCCTGAAGAAGGAGCAGGCCACGAAGACGTCGCCCATCAGAGCCACTCCGCGATCTCCTCGATGGCAGCCTGCCTCCAGCTCCGCGTCGCCGACGCGTTCGCCCAGCCGAGCACCACCGCGGTTCTCCGAGTACCGCCGCCCTCCTTCGCCCGAGCTCGGCGCGCCCTCCAGCGCCAGCGGCGGAGGCGCGCCCGCGGGCGGCGGCAGCGGCGGCGAAGCGGCAAGGCCCAAGCCGCGCCTCTCCTGCAAGGCCAGCTCAGCGCCCTCCGACTGGAGCCGCAAGATCTCCTCGCGGTGCAGCGGGCCCTGGGACGAGTTCCTGAACAGGTGCGTGGGCCCACGGTTCCATCCGATCGGCAGGCCTCCCATGGGACCCAACAACACGAGGCTCTCGACGCCCTCCTGAAGGTCCTCCAGGTGCATGTCTCTCTCGGGTGTTGTCACCACCCAGGAGCCTTCGTGCACGTGCGCGCACAGAAGGCGCTCATGCCACAACAGCTCGCGGGGGTCCTCGTCGTAAGAGACGAGCACCCGCTGGCCCTGACGAAGATGCTCTGACATCGCTTCCGTCGGTCAAGTACGGAGTCTCTGAGCCCTCAGACGTAGCACGACCCTCCGAGCGTCTCAAGCACCACCAGCCACAGGCGGCAGCAGCGGCGAATCCTGACAGGAAAGCCAGCACCGCCACCAGGAAGACCACCAGCCCAGGATAGCCCGAGCACTCTGGGGGCGCGCACGGCGCAGGCACCGTGAGGTTGGCGGGCCCGCACCTCTGCAGCTGCCCCTCCAGCAGGCGCAGCAGCTCACGGTCCACCGAGAACCCGTCTCCCAGCTCGACCTGGCAGGTACAGCGCTGGCCGTACCACAGGCTGCCCAGGTGTGCCAAGCCGCCGGCGCCAGCAGCGGCAGCCCTCGCCCACTCCATAGAGGGGCGAACTACCGGCTCGCGCGGCTGATTAGATCCAACGGTTGCGGATCAACAAATTGACAGGCCAACCCGATAAACTATCTCCAAGGCCTCCAGGCGGCCAAGATGACCTTCAAGATGCCCTCGTGTTCCCCGAAGGCTTTCCAAACCGATTCGGGGAACACATGTTCCGATAGCTTGGCAGGTCTGGCCTCAATGTTCGGCCACATAGGCGCTTCCACAAAGGCAGGGGGCGGCGGTGATTCGCCGTAGGCGTCTTCGATCCGCCGCCCCCTGTTGATTCATCACAAGGGTGCCTTGGCGTGCTGGACTTCTCACGGTCTTGGTTTTGGCTTGTTTTCCAAAAGAATTCCCCCTGGCGCGTCGGCCCGTCCCGCCGGGGTCCCGGGAGGGAGCTCCAGGCCCGCAAACGACCTCAACGTCTGCAAATAAATTCTCCAAGACGGCCCAAGATGGCCTCCAAGATGGCCACCCAAGATGGTCCAAGACGGCCTCCAAGACGACCCAAGAGAGTCCAAGACGGCCCAAGACGGCCAGAGAGGACCCCGGAGACGGCCCAAGAGGCCTCCAAGAGGTCCTCCAGGAGGGCCCGAAGAGGCCTAAATCATTGATTTTCTGTAGGTTTCTAAAGGATTTGCGCATTCGCTTCTTCTCGGCTTTCCGACGACCCAAGACGGCCCAAGAGGCCCCCAGGATCGCACCCACAGCGCCGAAGAGGCCTCCAAGATGGCCGCAGGACTGCCCAAGAGGCCCCCCAAGACGGCCCCAAGAGGACACAGAGACGACCCAAGAGGACTCCAAGACGCCCAAGATGGTCTCTAAGACGGCCTTGGAGCACCCCAAGCGGGCCACAAGTCGGCCCAGACAGGCCCCCGAAACGGCTTCCGACGGCGTCGGACGGGCCAGGAGCCCACCAAGATTGCCGAAGTTGGCTCGAAGCTGGCCCAAGACGGCCCAAGAGGCTTCCAAGAGGCCTCCGAGGGCCCCCAGGAAGGCCAGAAAAGGCCAAAAACACTGATGTGCCGTAGGTTCTCGAATGATTTTGACATTTGCTTCGTTTCGGCCTTCCGACGGCTTGATACGGCCCAAGAGCCCCCAAAGATCGCCCAAGAGGCCTCCAAGATGGCCGCAGGACTGCCCAAGAGGCCCCCAAGACGGCCCCAAGAGGGCACAAAGACGGCCCAGGAGGCTTTTAAGACGCCCAAGATGGCCTCCAAGACGGCCCTGGAGCACCCCAAGAGGGCCCCAAGTCGACCCGACTGGCCCCCCAAACGGCTTCCGACGGCGTCGGACGGGCCAGGAGCCCACCAAGATGGCCGAAGTTGGCTCGAAGCTGGCCCAAGACGGCCCAAGAGGCCTCCAAGAGGGCCTCCAGGAAGGCCAGAAAAGGCCAACATCATTGATTTCCCATGAGTGTTTCAAGGATTGTGGCATTTGCTTCGTTTCGGCCTTCCGACGGCCCGAGACAGCCCAAGTGCCCCCAGAGATCGCCCAAGAGGCCCACGACGGCACCCAGAGACCCCCAAGACGGCCCAAGAGGCCTCCAAGACGCTCAAGATGGCCTCCAAGACGGCCCAAGAGCCCTCCAAGACGTCCTCCAAGAAGGCCCGAAAGGGTCAAAATGGCCTCCAGGCGGCCAAGATGACCTTCAAGATGCCCTGGTGTTCCCCGAAGGCTTTCCAAACCGACTCGGGGAACACATGTGCGGATAGCTTGGCAGGTCTGGCCTCAACGTTCGGCCACACAGGCGCTTCCAAAAAGGCAGGGGGCGGCGGTGATTCGCCGTAGGCGTCTTCGATTATCCCGGCAAAGCAACCTAACAGCGATGTGTAGGAGCATATCTGGAAGCATTCCCCTTAAGATTCAGATGAGAATCCAGTTGTAGAATTGTGCTGTTCTCGCAGTCGTAGTCGCATTCGCGATGACAGTCGCAGTGGCAACGGCAGTCACAGACACAGCCTCAGCCTCAGCCTGCCTCAGCCTCAGCCTCAGCCTGCCTCAGCCTCAGCCTGCCTCAGCCTCAGCCTCAGCCTGCTTCAGCCTCAGCCTCAGTCTGCCTTCAGCCTCGGCGTCAGCCTCAGGCTGCCTCAGCCTCAGCCTGCATCAGCCTCAGCCTCAGCCTCAGCCTGCCTCAGCATCAGCCTGCCTCAGCCTCAGCCTCAGCCTGCCTCAGCATTCAAAATGTGGCCCGGGAATGTAGTTCTGGGAACTCGAAGAACACGAAGTGGCCTACAGTTGGCTCCGGGCATTCAAATTCATGCCCAGGAATGGAGTTCTGGGAACTCGAAGACCACGAAGTGGCCTACAGTTGGCTCCGGGCATCCAAAATCTGGCCCGGGAATGGCCTACAGTTGGCTCCGGGCATTCAAATTCATGCCCAGGAATGGAGTTCTGGGAACTCGAAGACCACGAAGTGGCCTACAGTTGGCTCCGGGCATCCAAAATCTGGCCCGGGAATGGAGTTCTGGGAACTCGAAGACACGAAGTGGCCTACAGTTGGCTCCGGGCATTCAAAATGTGGCCCGGGAATGGAGTTCTGGGAACTCGAAGAGCACGAAGTGGCCTACAGTTGGCTCCGGGCATTCAAAATGTGGCCCGGGAATGGAGTTCTGGGGACTCGAAGACCACGAAGTGGCCTACAGTTGGCTCCGGGCATTCAAAATGTGGCCCGGGAAAAGAGTTCTGGGAAGTCGAAGAGCACGAAGTGGCCTATACAATTGGCTCCGGGCATTCAGAATGTGGCCCGGGAATGGAATTCTGGGAGGTCGAAGAGCACGAAGTGTGTGACTGTATGCGAAAAACGATCCCGGCCGGCAAACCCTAACACCTCCCCAACGGCTGCCCAGACCCCCCTGTGGAGTCATCTGCTGCTCTCTTTTGAGACCACTAGAAACCTATCAGTCTTCGCTGTTAGGTAATAATGCAGAGTGAGAAGGGGAGGGAGGAAAAAAGAGAGGAGGGACGAGGGCGAAGGAGGATCACATCAGTCGGAGCGCCCCGAATCGGCGGCACTGGCTGGAGGCCACTACAATAGAATTCGTTTGTTCGGCAGCTGGAAACAATGACGTGATGGCGGCCTTCAAGACTGAAATCTCTGATACCTCGATTGCCGCTGATTTGCTTGCACTCCTGAATGATGCCACCAACTCTGACAAATGATAGATACGTTGCCGTTGCTTCTTTTTGAAGAGACTGGTTTGACGTTGTTTTGCTGGACCCGGTGTGGTACAACCAACGTGTCGGCCACCTTCGCAAGGGCGATATGCATGGTGCCGATGTCGTTGATGATCTTGCGGAAGGGGGACTCGCTCATCTTCCTGCTGTTCGACATTCCCGATCTGCCTCTGGCTGATCCGTGTGATGAGGATTTTTCTCTGGACTGTGGTCTCGACTGTCTGCCATTGGATGCATCTCTCTGGTTCTTCTGGTGATGATGCTGCTTCCAAGACTTGCCACAGTACTTGCACAACCAGAGCAGATCCCCATTGTTTGTCGAGCATGATGCACATGTCCAGGGCGCCAGATTGACCTTCTGGGCAGAATATTCCAAACTAGTCCAAAAATAGACAAACATTCGTCCCCAGACTACTGTTGACTATTTTCGACTACTCTTCCCGTAGAGGGACAGGCCCGACTCGACGCTACCCTCAGCAGGGTGTGGGCGTTCGCTCTGGCTTGGCGGCCCCGCCTGTGCCAGGCACTGTCGCCGCGACAGTCGCCCTCACGAGGCGCCGCGTCGCGCGTGCAGCGCGGCAGGCCGCCGCTGGCGCGGCCGCGGACCCCGCGGCAGGGGCGAGGCACGGGGCCCCTGCAGCAGGACATGGCGACACGCGCGAGCCCTGCCGCCGCTGGCCAGCCTCCCCGTGGGCACAGCCCGCTCGAGCGCGCGGTGGCTTGACACTCCTCCCCCTCGTCCAACACCTCCTCCTCCTCATCCTCCTCCTCCTCCTTCTCCTCCTCCTGATCCTCCTCCTCCTCCTCCTCCTCCTCCTCCTCCTCCTCTTCCTCCTCCTTGTGAATTCCCCTCCTCCTCCTCCTGCTCCTCATCCTCCTTCTCCTCGTTAATTCCCCTCCTCCTCCTCCTCTTCCTCCTCCTTCTCCTCCTCCTCCTCTTCTTCATTCCCCTCCTTCTCCACCTCCATGTTTGTTTCCTCCTCCTCGTCCTCCTCGTCATCCTCGTCGTCCTCCTCCTCCTCCTCCTCCTCATCCTCCCCTCCCCCTCCTCCTCCTCCTCATCCTCCCTCCTCCTCCTCCTCCCCCTCCCCCTCCCCCTCCTCCTCCTCCTCCTCCTCCTCCTCCTCCTCCGACCTCCTCCCTCCTCCTCCTCCTCCTCCTCCTCCTCCTCCGCCTTCTCAGTTTCCTCCTCATGCCCCTCCTTCGTGCTGGCCCGTGGTGCCCACCCCCTGGTCGTCCGGGCCGGCGGAGCAGCCCCCCGGGGGCGCGGCACCGAGTTGTCCTTGAATCCAGTGCGGGAGGAGGACCCGAAATGAATCCTGTGGCCGCATACGCGGTGCGTCGTCGCCGCCGCCTCCCCCGTCGCCGCCGCTTTTGTTCTCGTCCTCGGCCTCGTCGTCGTCGTCGTCGTCGTCGTCGCCGTCGTCGTCGACCTCGGCCTCGTCGTCGTCGTCGTCGTCCTTTTCGTCGTCTTCGTGTTCGTCAACGTCGTCGTCGTCGTCATCACCGTCGCCGTCGCCGTCGTCATCGACCTCGACCTCGACCTCGGCCTCGTCGTCGTCGTCGTCGTTGTCCTCTTCGTCCTCTTCGTCTTCGTCGTCGTCCTCCTCCTCCTCCTCCTTGGCCTCCGCCTCGTCGTCGTCGTCGTCGTCGTCGACGTCACCGTCGTCGTCTTCGTTTTCGCCGTCGTCGTTTTCGTCGTTTTCGTCGTCGTCGTTTTCGTAGTCATCGACGTCGCCGTCATCGTCGTCGACGTCGTCGTCGCCGCCGCCTCCGCCCTCGTCGCCGCCACCCTCGTCCATTTCGTCGTCGTCGTCGTTTCCGCCGTCGTCCTTTTCGTCGTTTTCGCCGTCGTCGATTTCAGCATCGTCGCCGTCGTTGCCCTCAGCGTCTCCGGCGTCGTCGCTGTCCGCGGGGGAGGGGCGAGGGGGCGAGGAGGAAGGCGTAGGAGGAGCGAGGAGCGAGGAGGTCGAAGAGGAGCGAACAGCAGCAGCAGCAGCAGCAGCAGCAGAAGCAACAGTTCGACGTCGGGATAGCCCGAGAAGACACGAGTATGTACAAGTCTCTGCCCATCGCTGGCACGAGGCCGAGTCCAGCTGAGGATGAAGAGGAGGAGCAGGAGGAGCGAGGAGCGAGCGAGCGAGCGAGGAAGGAACAGAGGAGGACGACCTAGGCGGCGAGACGAGGTGCAGCGAGAGGATGCGAGGAGCGAGCGAGGAGGAAGAGGCAGGAGGAGGAGGAGGAGGAGCGAGGAGGAGGAGGAGGAGGAGGAGGAGGAGCGAGGAGGTGCGAGCCAGGAGGAGCCAGGCTGAGCGTCGAGATGTGCGGAGCGAGCGAGCGAGCGAGGCAGGACCGAGGATGAGCGATGATGGAGGCTGGGCGAGGAGTGAGCGAGTGAGCGAGCGGGGGTCGGCGACGAGACGCGAGGAGGAACGAGGAGCGAGGCTGAGCGAGGAGGGGGGCAAAGTTGATGATGACGATGCTGTTGATGACGATGAAGACGACGACGATGACGATGACGATGACGATGATGATGACGACGGCGACGATGATGATGCTGATGCTGCTGCTGATGAGGATGATGACGCTGCTGATGATGGTGATGACGATGATGCTGCTGCTGCTGATGATGATGACGACGCCGATGACGATGACGATGACGATGATGATGCTGATGTTGCGGATGATGATGATGATGCTGATGCTGATGATGATGATGACGATGATGATGATGACGCTGCTGATGATGATGATGATGCTGATGCTGATGATGATGTTGATGATGCTGATGATGATGATGAGGAGGAGGAGGAGGAGGGGGAGGAAGCGGAGGAGGAGGAAGGAGGAGGAGGAGGAGGAGGAGGAGCAGGACAGGGGCAGCGAAAAGCAGCGAGGAGCGAGCGAGGAGGAAGAGCCGAACGGCAGCCCCCCGCGCCGCCGAGGCCAGGCCAGGCGATCCAGTGCCAGGGCCACGTGCGCCCGCCTGCCCCCTCCCCCCCGCCGCCCCGAGGTGAGGCGGGAATAGCCTGACGGTCCGAAAGCGGCGACAACGAAGAGGACGAGGACGAACTCATCCTCCTCCTTCCCTCGTCCTCCTCCTCCTCCTCCTCCTCCTCCTGATCCTGATCCTCCTCCTCCTCCTCCTCCTCCTCCTCCTGCGGGCCGAGTGGCCAGTGGCGACGTTCCCCTCACAGTTGCGGCGGGTATCTTCGACATGAAGATCCAAGGAGGCCTCCGCCTCGGGCGGTGGCTGCGGTTGCGGTGCGTTGGGGAGGGCTGCGCGGCGGCTTTGGACGAGCCGTATTTCAAAGAAGAGACAATAAAATAAACATAAACTTTTGGCACTCCGCGCGGATTTCTTGGATCCGCGCTGGACCCCGTGGCGCCGGAAGCGCCGCCAGGGGGGCCGCCCAGCGCGAATCCAAGAAATCCGCGCGGAGCGCCAAAAGTTTATGTTTATGTGGTTTTTCTTCTTCGAATATTGCAGACGGGCCAGGGCTTTCCTGGGCCCCCCCCGCGACGGCCTCGACGGCAGCAAAGGCGGAACTGGGCTGGGTCATCCCCGGCGCAGGGCGTGGCGTGGTTGACGTGGCGCGCTGGCGCGCCGGGCTGTGGACCCTTCCCGAGGACGATCTGCAACGGTCGGTCTTGCTGGATGCCCGCGTGACCGAGGGGCTGTCTTAGGCAAGCCCGTCCAGGAAGATGCTCTCGAGCTGAGGCGCAGAGGACTGGCCGGTCTAGTCCCTGGCCCACCCGGGGGAGCAGCGCGAGGCTTACCACATGTGGCAGCCCAGCAGCAGGTCGCGCGCAAGTGCTTGGAGGAGTGGCAGCCCAGGGCGAGCCCATGATCGCCCCGCCCAGAGTCCCTGCTTACTCTTTGCGACGGACCCGTCAGGGATCTCGAGGCCGCTCTCCAGAGCGAGCTCTGCTGCGATGTGCTCCAGGGCATGCGGTCCCTCAACCGCTGGCGAGCTGGCCTCTTTATCCTGAGACACACCGGTGGGCGCAGGTCCCAAGCAGCCGTGCAGCAGTGCGTGCTCTGCGGCGCGCGGCAGCGCAGCCTTTCCTTCCACGCGCGCTTCCAGAGACGGCGGAGGGCGAGGCAGCTTTTTCTGGGCGGCGCAGGCGCAGCCGCAGAGGGTCTCCCAGGAGGCCGGCGCGCGGGCGCTGCTGGCAGCCAGGCCCGAGCAGAAGGGTGCGCTGAGGCGGTGTCGCTCGGGGCGCGCTGAGCTGAGGCGGTGTCGCGCACGGCGAAGAAAGTATACAGTTATGTCGGGCGTGTCCCCCTACACGGGGATTTTCGACAAAAAAATTAAAATACCCCAGAAATGCACCAAAAAGGTAAAACAAAATTCAAAAAATCGTCCCCTGACTATTTTTGGACTATTTTTTGATTACTTTTGGTGTATTTTTCATTTTTCGCCGAAAATCCCCCTGTAGGGGGACAGGCCCGACTTAAGTATACGAGCAGCAGCAGCAGCAGCAGCAGCAGCAGCAGCAGCAGCAGCAGCAGCAGCAGCAGCTGCTCTGGGCCGGACGTGGTCGAGCGCGCGCTCTGCAGCCGCCGTGCTGCCCCCGCGCACGACCTCCACATCCTGAAGTGGGGCGAGCAGTGGCACGGCTGTTGTGGGCAACGCGGCGGCGGCAAACAGCACGACGTCCAGCAACACACCGGGGAGCAGCAGAGCTACTCGGACATCCGTGGCTGGGATGTGCAGTGTTGCGAGCAGCGCGACTGTGGGCACGCGGGCGGCGACAGGCAGCACGGCGTCGGGCAACTCGACTCAGCTGTCCGAGGGTGCTGAGCAGCGCGCGTGGGGTGCTGGCGGCATCGCGTTGATTGGCAGGACGGTGTGCAGCACCACGACTTGAACATCTATCAGTGGGTCGCGAGGGCTGTCGCGCACTCTGGCGCCGACCAGCGCTGTGGCTGCCAGCAGCACGGCACTGCACAGCATGCTGGTGGCCGGGTGCGGGGGCGCTTCGCTGCCGCGCCGGCTGCCTTAGGGGCTGTGAGCGGGCCTTCCTCCTTATCTTCCACCTCCTCCTCCTCCTCCTGCTCCTCCTCCTCCTCCCCCTCCTCCTCCTACTGGGTTTCACGTGTCTTCTTTCATCGCGCCCGGCTCTCGTGGCCTGTCTTCTGTGGCTAAGACTTCTGTTGCTAAGAGCTGCGCGCACGTGTCAGCCGAGGGGTGATCTGGCGCCTGCTTGGGGGGATGGCGGCGTCGGCAGAGGTTGGCAAAGCCTCTGATTCCCGACCATTGTTTCTCCGGACCTGGTGCGACTGCCACTTTCCCATGTGCAGGGCAGGACGCTCGGGAACAAAATTGTGGACACGGCGTCAAACTTCGGCGACGTCGGCGTGGATAGAATCGAGCTGCACATCGAGCCGCATCCACAATGCATCGGCGATGCATCGCGATCCTCCAACCCCATCTGCTCACACCTCATCTGGGAGGCCTAGACCTCCTCCTCCTCCTCCTCCTCCTCCTCCTCCTCCTCCTCCTCCTCCTCCTCCTCCTCCTCCCCCCTCCTCCTGCTCCTCCCTCCCTCCTCCCCCCTCCTCCCCCAATAGAACTCCTCCACCCCCTAGACCTCCTCCCTGTGAGCAGTTCTGCGAGCGGCACGGCTGTGGGCCCCTCCCCAAAGCGCGGGCCTCTCTGCCGCCTTGATGGTGGATACGGAGTCGAACTTCGGCGTGTAGGCCCCGGGCGCGGGGGCCTGCTCCTACGGCGCCCCGGCGCGGCGGGCGGGCGCTCTGGCCAAGTCGCTTATCGTCATCGTCGTCGTCGTCGTCGTCGTCGTTATCGTCGTCGTCGTTATCGTCGTTATCGTCGTCGTCGTCGTCGTCGTCGTCGTCGTCGTCGTCGTCGTCGTCGTCGTCCTCGTGGTCGTGATCGTCATCGTCGTCGTCATCGTCGTCCTCGTGGTGGTGGTGGTGGTGGTCGTATTGTCGTTGATTGAGGATCGGTCTGATCGAGGGCAGAGGGTCCAGGATCGAGAGTGAAGATTTGGTGGCTTTTGGGCCTCCAGGGGCTCCCTCGTGGCCACGGCTGGATTCGCCTCGAGCTTCTCGCCAGAACGCGCCTCAGGCCAAATCTGGGGGTTGTCCTCGTCGTCGTCGTGCTCTTCCCTGAGATCCACCTGTCACATTTCTTCACATCGGCCGTACTCGCCAAATGTCGGGCCCCGCGACCATCACAGGTCGAGCCGGCTCGGAAAATGCCGCAGCAAGATTGGACCTAAGGCTCCGGTCGTGATTTTTCGCGAAGTTGTACTGTGTCGAAATGGGTTCGTCGTCGTCGTCGTGCTACACTCTCTTGGGCAAGCCTCGTCGGGATCTGCCCACCGTCTGGTTGTTGTTGCCGTCGTCGTCGCTGTCCCTCATCGTAGCTGCCGCCGTCGTCGTCGCCGTCGTCGTCGTACCCCTCGTCGACTTGGACTCGTTCTTACACCCAGACGCTCACAGCGGGACGTGCCAGGAAACGGGGTGCACATATAGGGATCTCCGCGTCAAGTATAATTTTTCAAGCGCCCACGGCGGCCCTAGGAGGGCGCGCCACGAGAAGAGCTCATGGGGCCAGCTGGGACTGTTGGGAGGCCTCTGGAGGCCTTCTTGGGGGCCTTCCTTCTGGGGCTTACTGGAGGCTGGGCGCCCCCTGAGATACCTGGGGCAACCCTGAGGCCCTCCTGCGCTGTCTTGGAGCCCTCCCAGACGCCCTCCTTAAGAGCAAACGGCTTCTCAAGGCAAGTCCATAGCCGTCTCTGTTGGCTCCAACCAGCCATGTAGCCACCCTCGGCGCCTCGTCGCCGACGTGTTTGTCGCATCCTGTCGGTCCGAGTGACTTCCTCGTATTCGGTTGTTCTGCCGTAATTCACAGGTTGGCTACGACCGAGGGGGTTTCACGAATTACGTATACATGCAAAGGCAGTTTGTTGTTCCATCCTGGACACTTTCGGCGCGGCCCACCCCAGGGGCGGAGCGCGTGGGGTGCTGGCGGGCTTTCCCATGCAAAAGCCCCCCCCGTCCCTGGGTGTACTTCAATGGTGGTGTTCCTCGGAAGGATTAATTCGCTTTTTATGGTCAGTTCGCAATTTAGCATTCCAAATGTTCGTTCCGCTTTCGCTCGGTATAGCGCTCGTTGAGGTGCACCATTAGCACTGTTTTTTTGCAGGCGGCGAATTTTGGATTCCCTTCGTGGCCTGGCGCGGGCAGCTGCTTTGAAGCTGCTTAACGTTTTTGGTGAATGGAGTGTGGCTCGCCAATAAGGCTCGGGTGGATCTTGTCTAACATTTCGCCCAGCCGTTGGTTTCCAGCGGTGTCAGGAGACATGACTCGTATACTCGGGTCGGCCTGCATTCAGTACCAGTTGCGTTATTCCATTCAGAATATGCAGCGTCGGTTGGTGGGCATGTTAAGCACGCCATTCCGTGGTCACGTTTGGTTTTACCCTGGTGGCGAAGAACCTCCAATAATGGTGAAAGTATTGTGGGTTTTCTTCTCGTGGGGGCTCAGGAGCCTGAAATAGTGGTGAAAATTCCATGACTACATCGACGTGTTCGGCTTCGTGATCTGCGGGGAGGGCAGGTGGGTGCCGCAGGTAGGTGTAATTCGAATCACGACTTTGTGATGGGCTCCACTGCACTCCACTCCACTCCACTCCACTCCACTCCACTCCACTCCACTCCACTCCACTCCACTCCCGGACGCCCTCCTGGAGCGATCTTGGAGCCTTCTTGGGCTATCTCTGGGGCCGTCTTGACGCTACCTTGGGGGTCTCCGGAAAGCCCCCTTGGGCCGTCTGGGGCCGTCGGAAACTATCAGCGGCGAAAACCGTAAAACTGTCCCAAACCCACGGGTCATCCATATTTTGGCCTCGAGGCCATCTTGAGCGCTCTGGGGGCGCTCTTGGTCAGTCTTCGGGTCCTCGTGGGCCTCTCTTAGGCCGTCCTCGGGGTAGCTCAAGCTGTCTTGGACTCGCGGGCCGTCTTGAGGCCTCTTGGAGGCCAGGGAGGGGGTAACAAAAAGGGGCCCGATGGTGGCGAGGTGCTGGGCCCCCAGGGGGGTGAGGGGCGTATTCATCCATTTGACACGCATACATATGTATATATATATATATAGATACATAAATGTGTAGATGTATATCTAGGTATATACATACATGTATACATGTGCTTGTACATGTACATCTCCATGCATATGTAGGTGTAATTGTATATGTATAAGGAGAAGACAACTATAGACAGGGACATCAAGAGAGAAAGAGAGAGAGAGAGAGAGAGAGAACGAGAGAAGAGAGAGAGAGAGAACACAAATGAGAGAGAGGGAGACAAATGAAGAGACAGAGAGAAAGAGAGAAAGAGAGAAAGAGGAACAACACAACAACAATTACGAAGAGAGAGAGAGAGAGGGAGAGAGAGAGAGAGAGAGAACATACATATATAGAGAGAGGGATAAACATAACACACAACACATAACATGTAAGTAACCATGTAGCGTTCCAGACCAGACGACGCCGTGACTTAATACAATCACAACGTTGGTCTGGCGCCTGGTGATATCCAGATGCAGGGTCTGACATCGGGCCTGCGCAAACAGCTGTTTCCTGGCCTGGGCAAGAGGTCCAACACAACACGATCCAGACGGCAATAAAAAAAGATGCACTCCGGCTCCAAACAACACAGTGCAAGCTGAAAACTGCAGACCCTATCAAAGACAGGGCAGACCCGAGCTGAACCTTGCTATGCTTTCTTGGCTGGCAATTGCTGCAAACACGGAAAAACAAACACGATGGCGTCATGAAGGTAGCTACGGGATACCTGCGCAAGAGGCTGCGAGATCGGCACTTAAGATATGTTTACACTGCAGCCGAAGGGCTTCCACGAAACAAAAAGTGATCTGGTGATGGGCGCCCTCTCAATGGCGAGCCGTGCATGCGGATAATCCTGGCAAGGCCCTAGAATGTTCGACACGTCCGCACAAGCCCCTTCCCAAATCGTAGAAGGACGTCGCCCAGCGTGCCTGCCTCTCTCCCTCTCTCTGGCACGCGGCATCGGACTCGAACCTGTCTGATCAACATCCAGCCCGTGGCACAGGGCTACTCGATAAAGTCCTTGGTGGTGTAGTCGAACCTGCTCGACATGGAGATTTGCACCGCATCGTTCTTCGTTATCCTCGCAGGCTCCGCCCACCCGCCCCCATCGCCAGTAATGCATCCCCTCAGTGCTGATCGCACAACCGATCGCTCGCGAACTTCGAACCGAGCGAGTTGCCGAGGGAAACACGCCGACGGATAGGAAGAGGGACAGGAAAAAGCAGATGACCAGGCGTGCACGGGTGCGCACAAACTGTGGCATGAAGGTGACTGGTCCTGAAGGAAACGGCTCCTGGACCCCCGGGCATTCTCCAAAAACCAACTCCTCATCCTGGGTCGTTCGCCCCAAGGGCCGTGAAAGCCTCGAGGCCGAAAACTGCAGCACCAACAGCGACAACAGCAACAACAACAGCAACAATAATCTTAAGACTGTTCGCCCTTATATGCTCGAGTGTCCAATAACGCCTATTTCCCAAACCCTCGATACCCGCCCTCTTCGTCTTCGATCGAACCCCTTTTGGAGGGTATGCCTTTCTTCCCTGCAGGCCGGGCACCGGCAAGCGGCGGGCGGTCGCGGACCGTCGGCCTGGCCAGCGGCAGCGCTGATCGGCGGGGCGGCCGCGGACCGTCGACCCGACCCCAAGAGGGACGGACAGGGGACCGACCACGACGACGACGACGACGGCGACGACGACGACGACGACATCGAAGACGACGGCGACGACGACGACGACGACGACGAGCGAAAGCGAGAGCGAGAGAGAACGACAGCAGGGCCACGAAGGAAACGAAGTAGGCCACGAAGGGCGACAGCGGGGACACGAAGGGAATGCGTATGGGGGCACGAAGAACACGAACGAGCGGGGGCCACGAAGTGCAGATAATGCGGGGCCACAGAAGGCAACTATGGGGCCACTGAGGGTTGCAACTGGGCCACGTAGGACAGTGAGGGGGACGCAAATGGCGACAGCGGGGCCACGAAGGGCATGCACATGGGGCCACAACGGGCGCGACTCCTGGGTGCCTGGGTGTCGGGAGCGCGGCGCTTGGGCAACTTGCAGGAAATTCCAACGCAAGGCCATTCTTCAGTAAGTTGCAAGCAAATCTCCAGCGAGAGCGCGACTCCAGAGCGCCGGGAGAGCGATTCCTGAATATATTGTAAGGAATCCCAAGCGAGAGCGCGATTCCTGAATAAAATGCGACGAAGTCTCGGGCGGGAGCGAGGGTCCTGGCTAAATTGTAAGGAAGTCTTAGGCGGGAGCCGTTGTTGTTGTTGTAGCCCGGGGGCCAGGGGCCCAGTTTGAGCATCAAGACTTTCCCTTTCAAAAAACAGGGTGCGAGCGTCGAGGGGCACACTTTGATTGAGAAAAAACAGTATGCACCGGTGGGAGGGGATCAACAATAATTTTTTTCAGAAATGAGAAATCAAGGAAAAGGCCGGCAACAGAGCCCTTGCACCACCTGCCAGCGGCTCCTGGCCCTCCACCGCTGTGAAGGCCGGGCTCGAAGCCCCGGTGCCCCAGGTCGACACTCCCCTCAATAACAGCAATCAGCAACCCCACGACCGAAAAGGTGTGGTGAACGAGGAGGAGGAAGACGCTTGTGGAGGAGGAGGGAAGGAGGAGGGGAGGAGGACTGGAGGAGGAGGAGGGGAGGAGAACACATCCCGCATCGAAAACGCATGCCCGCGCCTTGCTGCGCCGATGCAAGAACGCCAGTGGAGCCCCAGCTAAGTGTAAAGCGCAAGGAAATATCGAGCGACAGGATTGCCATGGTGGGGATGGGGGCTGTCGGCGGCGAGGCAAGGACATGGCCTGAAATGGACAGGGAGGAAGTCTCGAGCAGGACCGCTGTTGTTGCTGGGAGCGGCGCCAATGCTGAAGAGAGTAAGGCGCTAGTCCAGCGTAAAACAAAACGACGTCTCGAGCGGGAACGCTGATTTTGTTGGGACGGCGGATGTCGGCGGCGAGGAGGAACACCGCCTGGAGTAAGAATGGGATAAGTATCGAGCGGGAACCGTGATATTGTCGGGATGGGGGCTGTCGGCGGCGAAGAATAGCACCGTCCTAGGGAAAAAAATGAAGCTTCGAGCGGGAGCGCTGTTGTTGCTGGGAGCGGCGCCAATGCTGAAGAGAGTACGGCGCTAAACCAGCGTAAAACAAAACGAAGTCTCGAGCGGGAGCGCTGGTCTTGTCGGGACGGCGGTTGTCGGCGGCGAGGAGGAGCACCGCCTTGAGCAAAAAAAGGGAATTCTCGAGCGGGAGCGTTGATGTTGCTGGGGGCGGCGCCGATGACAGAAAAAGTAGCGCGCCAGTGCAAGAAAAAACGGGAACTCTCGAGCGGTAGCGCTGGTCTGGTTGGTACGGCGGCCTTCGGCGGCGAGCAAAAACACCGGCCTTGAGTAAAAAAGGAAGAAGTCCCGAACGGGAGCGTTGAACTCTCATTTCATTCTTGAAAAAATTTTATTGTTGATCCCCCCCGTTCGGTGCACATATTTTTTGATTGAAATGCCCTTCCCGGGGCTCGCACCCTGTTTTTTTACCAGGGGAAATCTTGAGCGTCAAACTGTTTCGTCGGCCCCCGGTTTACAAGAGCGGCTCCCGCCTAAGACTTCCTCACAATTTAGCCAGGACCCCCGCTCCCGCCCGAGACTTCCTCGCGTTTTATTCAGGAATCGCGCTCTCGTTTGGGACTTCCTTAGGAATTATTCTCCCGGCGCTCTGGAGTCGCGCTCATGCTGGAGATTTGCTTGCAGTTTACTGAAGAATAGCGCCCTTGCGTTGGAATTTCCTGCAATTTACTCAAGCGCCGCGCTCCCGAGTCGCGCTCACGCTTAGGACTCCCTCACAAATTACACAGGAATCGGGATCTCGCTGCCCTTCGTGGCCCCGTTGAAGCCCTTCGTGGCCCCGTCGCTTTGTTTCGTGGCCTCGTTGCAGGCCTTCGTGGCCCCCTCGCTGCCCATCGTGGCCCCGATGCATCCCTTCATGGCCCCCCCGCTGCCCTTCGTGGCTCCATATATGCATGCCCTTCGTGGCCCCCCCTCGGTCGCGCCCGTGGTGGCCCCATATGCATATGTCCTACGTGGCCAGGTTGCTACCCTCAGTGGCCCCATTGTTGCCTTCTGTGGCCCTGCATTATCTGCCCTTCGTGGCCCCCGATCGTTCGCGCTCTTCGTGGCCCCGTGCGCATTCCCTTCGTGTCCCCGCTATTGCCCTTCGTGGCCTACTTCGTTTCCTTGTGGCCTTGCTGTCGTTCTCTTTCGCTCTCGCTTTCGCTCGTCGCCGTCATCGTCGACGTCGTGGTCGTCGCCGTCGTCGTCGACGTCGTCGTCGTCGTGGTCGGTCCCCTGTCCGTCGACGGTCCGCGGCCGCCCCGCCGATCAGCGCTGCCGCTGGCCAGGCCGACGGTCCGCGGCCGGCCCGCCGCTTGCCGGTGCCCGGCCTGCAGGGAAGAAAAGTATACCCCCCAAAAGGGGTTCGATCGAAGACGAAGAGGGCGGGTATCGAGGGTTTGGGAAATAGGCGTTATTGGACACTCGAGCAGATAAGGGCGAACAGTCTTAAAATGATTGTTGTTGTTGTTGTTGCTGTTGTTGTTGTTGCTGTTGCGGTTGTTGTTGGGGCCGGTTTGGGCGCCCGCCCAAACCGCTCGAACGTGAGCCGCATTTTCTGTGAACATGTAGCCAACGCCGAGGAGAGAGCGCCAGAGCGCCTGGGGGTCCAACAATAATAATTGTTGAGTGGCGAATACGCAACAGCAACAAACACAACAACAACAACAACAACAACAACAACAACAACAACAACAACAACAACAACAACAACACCAACACCAACACCAACACCAACACCAACACCACCAACAACAACAACAACAACAATCACAACAATCACACCAACAACACCAACACCAACAACAACAAAAACAACACCAACAACACAAATCATTATAATACTGTTCCCTCTTACTTGCCCGTATGTCATTCAAAACGAGTTCCCCACACCCTCGAGACCCGCCCTTCTTGTTTTCGAACACGCCTCCTTTGGGGGGAATATTTGTCTTCGCGGGAAGCGGAGGGCTTAGACAGGCGGGCAAACCTGAACGGGCGGACAATCATTCGTTGGGGTACATGTGTCCACCATTGGAATTGGTGTGGGCCCTGCAAAGAGGATGGGGGGAACGAGGGAGAGTGGGAGGAAGGGAAGGGGAGGGACGAAGGAAGAGGGAAAACGCCAGGAGAGAAGAAGCGAAGAGGGGGGCGGTTGATTAGAGGGAGAGAGAGAGAGAGAGAGAGAGAGATGGAGAGAGACAGAGAGAGAAAAGCAGCAAAAACAGATCAGAGAGGTAGAGAGAGAGGCGAGAGAGAGAGAGAGGGGGAAACAAAAAAGAGGGAGGGAGGAGGCAGGAGAGGGGAGGGAGAAGGGAGGAGGGAGGGGAGGGAGAGGGGATAGGGCAGAGAGGCAGAAGGATGAGGGAAGAAAGGAGGGAGAGAGAAGGGAGGAGAGGAGGGAGGAGGGAGGAGGGAGAGGGAGGAGGGAGGAGGGAGAGGGAGGAGGAGCAGGAAGTTAAGAGCGTAAACGTTCGAGGACGTCCTGGGAGAAAGCGCTGTTCCTGAAGGAAGTCTCGGGCGGGAGCCCACGACGGGCGGGCGATCCCCTGACGAGCGGGTCGGGCGGGTGGGACATTCAAGCGGGATGCCTGAGTATGGCGAGAGCGCGAATCCTAAGTACATTGTGACGGCGTCCTTGGCGCAGCGTGTTTCCTGAGCGTCGAAAGCGGATGTTTGAATATGTTGCATGGGAGTCACATGAAAGAGCGCAACTCCTGAATAAAATGTGAAGGGTTCTCTGGCGGGAGCGGGGGTTTTGATTTAATTGCGAAGAAGTCTTGACACAATTGCCAGGAAGTCTCAAGTGGGAGCGCCGTTCCTGAGTAAATTGTAAGAAAGTCTCAGATGGGAGCGGGGGTCCTGACTAAATCGCGAAGAAGTCGCAGGCGGGAGCACCGATCCTGAGTAAATTGTGAGGAAAACTCAGGCGGGAGCGGGGGTCCGGAGAAAATTTGAGGGAAGTCTCAGGCGGGAACCGTTGTTGTTGTAATCCGGGGGGCCCCAAGACTTCCTCTGTCAAAAAACAGGGTGCGAGCGTCAAGGGGCGCAATTTGATTGAGAACATAAACAGCATGCACCGGTGAGCGGGGATCAACAAGAATCATTCTTCAGAAGTGAGGGTTCAACAACAACAATCAGCTTAAGACTCTTCGCTCTGATCTGCTCGCGTGTCACTCTATATGCATATCCCAAACCCTGGATACCCGCCCTCTTCGTCTTCAATCGTACCCCTTTTTGGGGGGTATATTCATTCCCTGCCACGTGTGGTTGGTGAAGCCCTTGGAAACGAAGGGTAGCAGATAACGGGGGAGAATGAGGACGAAGGGATCGGAGGAAGGGAGGGGAGGGGCAAGAAGGAGGGAGGACGATGATTTGCAGGGGAGGGGGCCATCGGAGGAAGGGAGGGATCGGAGGAAGGGAGGCATGGGGCCAGAAAGGGCGACAGCGGGGCCACTGAGCGCAGAAAGTGGGCCACGAAGGGCAGCGAGGGGGCCACGAATGGCGACAGCGGGGCGACGAAACGCATGCGTATGGGACCACGAAGGGCGCGAGCGAGCGGGGGCCACGAAGGGCAATAATCCGGGGCCAGAGAGGGCAGCGACGGGGCCGCTGAGGGCAGAAACGGGGCCACGAAGGGCAGAGAGGAGGCCACGAAGGGCGACAGCGGGGCCACGAAGGGCATGCATATGGGGCCACGACGGGCGCGAACGAGCGGGGGCCACGAAGGGCATTCGTATATGGGGCCGCAAAGGGCGACAGCGGGGCCACCGAGGGCAGCAAACGGGCCACGAAGGGCAGCGAGAGGGCCACGAAGGGCAACAGTGGGGCTATGAAGGGCATGCCTATGGGGCCACGACGGGCGACTGCGACCGGGGGCCACGAAGGGAATATAATGCGGGGCCACAATGGGCAGCGACGGGGCCACTGAGGGCAGCAACGGGGCCACGAAGGGCAGCGAGCGAAGGCGACCGCGGAACCAGTAGGGGCGGCGAGGGGCATCGAAGCCGGGCGAAGGGCAGCGAGCGGCGACTGCAGTCCCTAACGGGCTGGTCGGCCGGGCAGGCCCAGACGGGCGGGTCAAGCGGGCGGGTCGTTGAAGCGTAAATTCTGCTTGAACCGCCAGGCAATAGGTAGCGGGAACGCGATTCCTGAGTGTCGAAGAGCGGCATCTGAATAAATTGAGGAAGTATCCGGCGGGAGCCGCGATTCGGTGGTAAGTTGCGAGGAGGTCTCAAGCGAGAGCGCGATTCTTCAGTACATTGTGAGGAAGTATCTAGCGGGAGCCGCGATCCGGTGGTAAATTGCAAGGGAGTCCCAAGCGAGAGCGCGATTCTTCAATACATTGTGAGGAAATATCAGGCGGGAGTTGTAAACCGGGGGCCACCAACGCAGTTTGACCCTCAAGACTTTCCCTGATTAAAAATAGGATGCGAGCCCGGGGAAGGGCATTTCAACAGAAAAAATGTGGACCAGACGTTGGGGATGAACAGTAATTATTCTTCAAAAGTGAGCTCAACAACAACAATCATTCTAAGACTGAATCCCTGCAGGATCCCAAGGGGTGCTCTTAAGGGTCGCAGGAGGGCTCCTCGAGTGCCCCAAGGTTCCAAAAGAGGCCCTTACGAGGGCTTCTGGGAGGTCCACGCGACTGCTCACATACGCATGATCACCATAATGCGTTCGCGCACTCTCGCAACCACGAACATATTCCAGGAACGCGACGGAGACGGCGACGGCGGCGGCGGCGGCGGCGGCGGCGACGACGACGACGACGGCGACGACGACGACGACGACGACGACGACGACGCTAATGCTGACGCCGACGCCGACGCCGACGCCGACGCCGACACCGACACCAACGCCGACGCCGTCGCCGACGCCGACGCCGACGCCGACGCCAACGCCGACGCCGACGCCGACGCCGACGACGACGTCGACGACGTCGACGACGACGTCGACGACGACGACGTCGACGACGACGATACGGCGACGACGTCGACGACGACAACGGCGCGACGACGATACGACGACACGATGACGACGACGACGACGACGACGACGACGACGACGACGACGACGGCGACGACAATACGACGACACAACGACGACGACGACGACGACGACGACGACGACGACGACGACGACGACGGCAGCGACGCGCGCGGCCCTGCGGAGTCTGCCGCCGCGCGCCGCGTGCGCGCGCCGCGCGCCGCGGGCTGGGGCCCGCACGTGTTGTACTGGCCAGGGCCCGGCGCCTTCATCGTTTTCTTCTCGGCCATGCGGGTCTGAGCGGCGGCGGTGGGCAATCAGAAGTGAACCCTGCCCCTCAGATCTGTGCGATGCCGTTGCTTTGCAACGGGCATTTTCGCCAGTCGGCGATGCATCGGCGATGCGGCGCGTTCCTCTGACCCCACCTGCTCTGACACCACCTGGGAGGCCCAGACCCCTGCAGGGCAGATTTCTAAAACGTCGGCTGGGGTTCGTAATTCGAAAGATGTCTGACCCCAGCTGGGGTTCGTAATTCGAATTCGTAATTCGTAGTTCGTAGTTCGTAATTCGTAATTCGTAATTTCTAAAACGTCGGCTGGGGTTCGCAAGTCGAAAGATGTCTGCAGCCAGGGGAACCCCAGCGGGGGCGTCCGATACCCCAACGTCGAGTCGATCCTCGGTCGGGAACCGAAGGTCAAAACTCTTGGCGAGCTTCTCCTCTTCTCGGTCGGCTTCGCGTAAAAGTGACCATCGGCAACAGGTGACCTTTGGTGCGCGACTTTCGGAGGCAGCGGGGGGCCGAACAGGAGTGCGCAAGACGCTGCTATCGAATCGAATTCAACTACCCGGGGACCTCTCGGGCGGGTGGTAATGGGGGTGACCGAATTGGGGGGGAGAAAACGACCCTGAAGAAGTCCTTGCCTGAACCCGCACTCGGGCCACCCCCAATTGCCACCCGCCCGAGTGCCGCACCAAAAGTCACTCGGGCGAAAAGTCATCGTTACGCATCAACGACCTCGGCCCGTTGGAAATATTCAGAACCCTCCGCTGGGATTTCCGGTGAGCTCTGGGGACCTCGGGAGGCCCACAACTATCCCAAGACAGCGGCGGCTGCGGCTGCAGAGGCGGGTGAGGGGAGGAGGGGGGCGTGGGGAAGAAGGAGGGAAAGGCAGGAGGAGGGGGGAGGAGGAGGGAACGGCGAGGGGGGAGGGGAAGGGAGGAGAAAGGAGGGGAGGAGGGCGATGAAAGGGGGAAGGGGAGGAGGGGGAGGAAGAAGTTAAGAAAGACAGACAACAAGAAATATATAAACAATGAACAAGCCTGCGGACCCCGGGTCGCGGCGCGCACGGCGAGCAGCAGGACGATGGAAAAGTACTCGTACATCACGTCCTGCTCCCAGCAGAACCCCCGAGCTACGCCCCTCGCCTGGCAGGGGGCGCTCGTGCGTGGCCTGCTCGGTTCTGCAACTCGCTGCCTTCTCGGAGCCGGCGTCGCAGGTGATGAGCCCGTCGCCTTGGCACCATCAGGCCTAACCCCATTGCCGGGCAGGGAACGCATGTGCACGGCCTTCTCGATGACGCAACTCGCTGTCCTCTGGGCCACCCGCCGCTGCAGCAGGTGGCCCTTCGCCTCTCGGGCCAGACGTCGTAGGCGACGGCCCTCTCGCCTCAGCGCCATCTGGCCTACCCCACGGCCTGGCCGGGAAAGAGCGTTCGCGGCCTCCTCGATGACGCAGCTCATTTTGTGCTGGGCCACTTGCTGCTGCAGCAGGTGGTCATTCGCCTCTCGGAGTCGCCGTCGCAGGTGATGATCTCTTCGCTACAGCACCATCAGGCCTAACCCCTCGCCTGGCAGAGAATACTGCAGGAGAGGCCCCCCGACGACGCCACTCGCTGCGCTCGGGGGGCTCGCGCGCCCCTCTCCCAGGTCGGAACGCAGCCTTCCCACTGCTTCTCGTCGCTGACGCCGACGAGAGAGGTCCCGTTGCAAGCGTCTTCGGGGCGCCGAGTACATCCCAATCGAGCCACCCCGCCATGCACTTCGGGCCCGTCAGGAGCCCCCCCCCCCCTGCGGCGACGGCGACGCCCCTGGCGCAAGCGAAGGCCTGGGCGCCGCTGCCTCCGTGGCCAAGGATCTCGCGACCTTTCTTTCACCAGGTATCCCGCGCCGTGGTGGTGCTGCGGATGCCCCCTGTCCAGCATCCAGCACCGCGTGCCCGAGGATCGCGTTCTTGCGCTGCTCCCCCTTCTGCGCGTTGCTTCCCCTTTGCCTTGATCTGCTCCAGGGACGCAGCCATCCTGCTCTCGTTGCCGGACTCCTCAGTGGCCAATGGAGTGACGACGTTCGTCTTCTCCATGTGGACGGGCGCGAGCGCGTCGACGTACCTCGCCAGCGTCTTACGCGGCCCGAGCCCTCGGCGGAGGTTGGACAGAGCTTCGAGCCCCTCGATGGCGGGCTGCGCGCGCATCGCCCGAAGCTTCTCGCGCCGCCCTTGTCGCGCCCAGGCCCCGCGCCGCGCGCGCGCGAAGACCGCGGGTGCCGCCTCCGCGCAAGGCGCCCTGGGGCAGGTGGCCGAGCGGCTCCAGCAAGTGTCCGTTCAGGAAGGTCGGCGCGCCCGTGCTACCTGTGAGAGCGAGCCCCTGCCCAGGGGCGCGCAGCTTGAGGCGCGCCTTGTGATGCTTCCCTAGCTCGGCGCCCCCCCCGACGCAAGCCCTCCTTCCGCGTGCTCCAGTGCTCCAGACCCTTCTCGCCGTCACCGGTCGTCTCGTCAACCTTGCATTCTCTTACTTGTCGAAGACGGGCAGGAGGCAGCAACCAGCTTGACAAAGCGCAGCCTCTGCGTCGATGCCTTCTCGATGGCCTCAGCGAAGTCCGAGCTGATCGTCTCGTGCCGCGCTGCGCCCTCTCCTGCCCTGACGTCTGCCGCGATGTTGCCGTCGGCGATGCCCCTCGCCTCTGCGCCGAGGCTCTCGCACTCCTGGCCAGAGCGGCGCGCCTCGATGCGCGCGATGGCCTCGGCACGCGCGCCGGAGACCTGGGCAGCCTTGAGCAACAGCCGCGCATGCGCATGGCGACCTGGAGCTGACCTGCCGCTTGGGGCACCTGCGCGCCAGATTCGCAGTGTCCACGAAGTCAGCAGATCCGAAAGAACGACGGTCAGCGATCTGATCAATTCACGCATGTGCCAGATATTCCGCCACGGCCGGCGTCTGTGAAAGCGACGCTGGCACTGCCGCATACATCATCCGAAGCGGCAGATCGGAGCGAGGATCGAGCAAGGCGATCGCCCAAGCTGCTTTCTGCAGCTCCACAAGGGCTGGCTTGGAGCAGGACCCGTCGATCGCCACTTCCATGACCTGAGCGTGCTCTCTGAGCGCCCTGGCAGTCATCGTCTTGGGGGTGCAATCCACGTCGCCGCCGTCGCCGCCCGCGACGACGCCCCGCGCCCCCGGGCCCGTGTCGGGCAGCTCGTACTCTGGATACGCGAACCCACCTTGAAGTAAGGGTCGGTCGGGGGCCTCATGGCGCAGACGCTGCAGGTGAGCTGCAGATACTTCAGCCTCCTCCCTCGCTTGGATCACGTCCGCTCGGTACGATTATATAGCCGACGGACTAGGGCGTCGTCTTGACCGCACTGACATTTCCCGTCAGTGATATCCTCGCAACTGCGCCCTCGCCTCTGCCCAGCCCCCTCCCACGCGCAGTTCACGATGCAGAACTTCTGGTGCTCATTGAACTTCCAACTGCGCGGCCTGACGCAGCCCTTGAGCAGGTCAAGGATCACGCGGGACTCCCCGGGCATGTTCCACTTCGTCGGCTATGCTCCTGCGCGCTGGCAAGCATGTCCGTGGCTTGGCAGCACGCCTAGGGAGTCCTGGCGCGAGCTGGCCCACGTGCACCTCGTCGCCGCGGTGGTTGACCCAGAGGAGCCCCATCTTGACTGCCCATCCTGCTCGTCGCGCGCAGATTGCTGCTCGCTGCAGCGGTCCACGTGTCTGACCCCACGTCGAGACGGCCCCGGGCCCCGTCGCAGCACGTCGCCACCAAGCCCGCGGCAACATGAGCGGCCCTGACGCAGTGGCCACTGCCGCCCCGACCATCCGTAACCACTGGAGCGCCGGAGCAAGTGCTTGCCGAACAACAGGGCCCCCGAGCAGGACCAGCTATGCACTCGTGGGGATGCCCCCGTGGCAGGGTTTCTGATGACGAGCATAGTCTCTCGCCATGGACGCTGCAGCTCGTTGTCGCCAGCACTGTTGATCTCGATGCCGCGTGTCATTCCTGGCCTTGCTGCCGCGCGATGGATCTGGCCAGTCCGATGCACCTTCCGCTTGGGCAGTGCTCTCTGGTACTTCCTCAGCTTCTTAAGCCGATCCTTGCACTGTGGCCGTCTACTTCGCTGCTTCACTCTCGCGCCCTTCGCGCCCCTGGCCCAGGCCCCTGCAGAATCCGCCCCAAGGCGGGCGGTGGCCCGCTGACTCGCGAGCGCGCCGACCGTCAGCCTCTGGGCGATGTCATCGCTGATGTCCTTCGGGCTGCTCACGACCGCTAGCTTGCCGCTGATCGTCGCGCCGAGGGCATTCGCCGTCTTGAAGAACCCCTTTCGCCGCCTCAGCTGCCGCGACGATCACTGCGGCCTTCGAGCGGCTGTCGACGCCCAACGATGGGGCGATCGATATACAACGAGAATCGCACCGGCGGGTGAAGCGCAACGTAGATTCCTCACCGCTGCAGGGCGCGCGCTTTGATCGCTGCGTCGGCATAGGCATCGCCAGCAGGAAGACGATCTTGAGCGAAGCGCGCTACCGCGCCATGGTGGAGCCGTAGCCGCGCGATCCTCGGCCCTCGCCACTGATTAGTTCAACGGCGCCTTTACCAGGGCCACGGGGACCGGGAGGTGACGTAGTTTATCTCTGGCTGGTTCTAAAGATATCGTCTCGGTCGTCTCGTAGAACTTGCCGCAGTCCGCCACGCTCGTCGCCGCGGGCCCCCTGACGCTCACGTTCTGCGCGTTGTCCGCAGCAAGGACCCGCGCGCTGTTGATCGCGCCCCCCCTGCAGCAGCGCCCCAACAGGGGCGACCGAGCAACTTCTGCGCATCGCGCAAGGCGGGTTTCCTCATCCGTTTGCCATACTCTATATATCGACGCGCACAAGATGGCGGGCCTGTGCCCGCCCGCCGCCTTCGGAAGCATCGGCAGCGCCATCCATGTCAGCTGGCACGGGGGGGGCCCGACGCACTCGCATGCCTCGGAGATGTCGCATAGGCCCTCCGAAACATTGTCGTTGAGGTACCG